CTGCGCCCCGAGCCCGCCCCCTCCCCACGCGGAGCCATCACCCCTCCCCCGCACCTCCGCCTCACTCCCCTTAGAGGCCAGCCACGTGCTACGCCCCCTCCCCGGCCGGCTCACTATCCTCCGGCGCGCGCTGCCGCTCAGTTAACGGAACCCAGGCCCGGGCCGCGGAAGGATACTGAAGACCGTCCGCTCCCAGGGCTCCAGCATGTAGAGCGCGGTGACGAGCAGATACTGGTAATAGAGCCACGACACCCGCCCCCAGGCCGAGCCTAGCGCCATTGCCGGACCTGTCTGCGTGCGGCGTGCGAGGCCCCGCAACCTGACTGAGCCCGCTCTGAGTAGGCGGGGAACGTCTCCCACCTGCGCCCCGCCCCGCGTCAGGAGCTGGTGCACCGCCGGGCCTCTCTGCCCCGGGCTACTCTCATGGTACTGAGCATGCGCTTGTGAACTGAGCATGCTCAGTAACAGCTGTCCGGAACGGCCCCCTTGTGGGGTGACCACGTGCGCCCTGCTTCTGACTGGCTTGCTGCGCAGCCAGAGGGGCGGGGGTGACAGTTACCCAATGGGGATGAGCCCTCTGCTGCGGCTGGAAAAAAAAAAGCAATGGGGGCGGAGGAGATCCCCGCTCTCGCATCTCATCACGTGCTTCCCAGGACTGTGCCCTTAAGGGTACAGTGCACAGCAGAGGAACTGGTGCCTCCAATGGAGCTGTTAAAACAGGTTTGAGTCAGTGAAGTATTCTACATACGATAACTGTCAATGTTTAAAAGAATCTCTCGCGCATGTATTTATATGCCCCTCTAACACCTCATAGCTGCAGCAGGGAACATATTTGGCTTGTCTTTTATTCAGATTGTTGGACTGGACTGCAGTTTTCTTGCAATGCACTGTTAAATGGCGTTTTGCTCCTTTATTTACTTTTTGAAAGCATATTTTTATTACTCTTAACACTTCATTCACTGTTACCATTGCGCAGATGAACGTCAATAGATATTTTTAATAGCAATCATTGGAAATTTAACAGTCGTTAGTAGCTTCCACAATCACATCTGACGAAGTGGGTCTTTGCCCACGAAAGCTTACACTCCAATAAATCTGTTAGTCTATAAGGTGCCACAGGACTTCTCGTTGTTCTCACATATCACAGTAATTCTGCACCTCTTGTTTGTATTGAAATATTAGGTTATTTACATTTTGGTTCTTTTTCATCTTTTATGTAAAGGTTTATTTTTTTGGATCACATGATTTCAAAGCTGACAGATGGTTTGATGTCAAAACTTCAGTTTTCTTTGAGCCTAAGTTTTCTTTGAGCACTAGGAGCCTATAATTTTGCCTCCTAGAGCATACAAGTCACCTCAAACAACTGCAACTCAAAGTTTTGACCCTAGTTAGTAAACAAGGAGTGAGGCATACCATATTGGTACACAAATTAAAATGTATCATTAAAAATTGTATTTCTTGGTAGGGTAGTATACCCTGGCCAGCATACTCTGCTGAGTGATAAGGTGTAGTCCTTGGCTCCTTTCTATGGGTTCATTGTACAGCTCATGTCCCATGATGGGGCCATCAAGCAAGCCCAGTGCTGATGCCAGTCTGCCTGGGTGCAGAAATACAGCACAAGTTTGGAAAATAGATATACTATACATATCTATAAGTCCTGTTTGTACAAAGAGGTACAAACATACAAATGAAATTGACAGGAAAGCTGGCTCCTAGCTCCCTAGACAGACTGCTGCTAGATCTCTGCTCCAAGTTGGGCTCCTATCCCGGCTCCCATGCAGGCTCCCCACTCCTAACAGAGAGCTCTGCTGCCTGAGTTCCTGGCTCCTCACTCCTCACCAGCATCACAGCCGTCAACTGGACTCTAGGTGCAGATCTTCCTACCAAAAGGGAGAAGCCCCTAGTGGCTCCTGGCTAGGAATCAGGAGGTGAAAAGCCATGTGGTGTTGCCCCCTGGTGACAGCAGGAAAGCAAGAAGCCCAGGCAGCCGAACTCCTGATCTGCTCTTCAGTTGATGGAAGAATCACTGGTGGAGATGCACACTACCAACAGGTGGGTAACGTGTACCTCAGTCACCACAATATAATTAATGCAGTAGCTGTAAGTTGACGTAACATAGGTCGATTTAAGATTACAGTGTGGACATAGCCTTCATCTCATGCACATATTTTACATTGTTTACCACTGAGATGGATTTGGGTTTTACTTTTAGTTTTCACTGTTAAACTTGAGACATTTTTGGCAAAAGTCTACATATTCTGCATTGAGAGGACAGCAATTACTAGAATAGAATTACCCTGCTTAAGATGTTCAACTGCTCCTCTGCCAGCAAGATTTACTCTTCCCTCTGAGACTCAAACTGTCATAATCCTTTTCCAGCTGGAATTCTGCTACTATAATCAATCAGTGTTGCTATTTGACAAAGTAGATTTCTAACACTTCAAGACTACTAGAAAATGCTGAATTTTACTGGAAACTGCCAAATGATTGCTGCTGTGTGCATTTCACAAAAAGCTTGCAACATTAAACATCTTTGCATTCCAGTAAATAGAGGCCATATTTGCACCATCATCTCTTGAAAGAAGTTTCCCTAAAATTCATAGGATAAAAGGGTGAAACTTGTGCTAAATTATTTTCCCTTAAGGTTGAATAAATTATTTCATTTTTTATAAATGAAAAGTTTATTTACAAAATAGAAAGTAAGTCTACAGTACAAAAAACTCATTTCTAATCTGACTGAATAGCTTCATATATAGAGATACCTCTATGAACAATGTGAAGTCAAACCATAGGATTTTATTTATTTTAGCAGTAGCTGGAGTTGTAATACATAGTACAATTTGATGTGGAACACCATTTGATATTTTAATATTATGAAGATAATGCAATTACACAACACTATATTTTAACTAGTTACTTTGTCACTCATGGCAGTCTGCATATTCAAATACAGCTGGACTTTGAACATAGCTGTAAAGTTAATTTCTTTTAACTGCCATTTGTCAACATATTTACACTTCTAACATTAATTCCCACCCCCCTTTAGACTGTGTTTTACAGAACTAAAACTCCAAGATGTGCTTCTTTGCACATAGGCCCTACTGTCTCAAAATACATATGCTCCTTTAGAAAGAATTTGGGTGACAGAATTCTTCCCTCACCATACCCATTACCCTAGCCCAGAAATAGTTTTGAAGAACACATGAGCCTTGCATTGTGAATTGAAGTTGAACAGATTGAGTCTCTGGTGAACTAATGGGGAAAGAGAATTCTGTAGCCAATGATACCTCTCTGAAAATGGCCTGACTGAGCCCCTTCATGATTAACCAAGGAATTGTGAGTTTGAGAGCCTCAGATAATCTCAGTTGGCATGGTATTACAAAGGGGGGGGACCAGCGAAAACCTGAGGTAACCAGGTCCGACCCAATAAAAGACCTAGTTTAAACCAGCATCTTATAATACTCCCAGCAGTATTACCTTCTGGACCATCTGAAGTATGAGTGATCGAGAGGCAAGGTAGGTGAGGTAATATCTTTTATTGGACCAACTTCAGTTGGTGACACAAGCTTTCAAGATCTGTATAAGCTCAAAATCTTGTGTCTCTCACCAACAAAAAAGAGACCAACAGAAGATGGCCCAATAAAATATAACATCTCACCAATGTTCCCACTATTTTTTCCAGCTGTGTGGAATAATTTTTGTTATATGCACCAAAGCATATGCAGATGTGCATCACAAGTAGAAACACATGCTCTTGTCAGTGGGTACTCTGCTAATCAGCTGGGCAGCATTTGAATCTCTCCTGGTTAGCAACCCAAGTGCACAGCTTACAGGAAACACTGCATCTGATCCACCTTGCTTCTCTAATATTCTAGTTTAGCTGTTTAATTCTGTGCAAAGCTCATTGCAGTAATACCAAAATGATAAAGCCATGGATCACTGTGGCAAGATCCACATCTGAAACAAACAGCAGCTGCCTTTTGGACAAGCATAGGTAATACTCTAGGTCAAAATCAGCAGAGGATCCATAAGAACTGTCTAAGGGAGCTCTTTTAAGTGTCAGTCACATGTCTTCACCACAGTTTCCCTTCCAGTTTCTTTCCAGGTTTGTACAGTTGCTGAGGCAGTGTGAAAATAACACACACTTTTTGGTAACCTCTCTGTATTAAAGTAGTCCATTTTGACCTTCAAGCTCTGTAGTTTGTTAGCCATTTCCTTGGCCAACAATTCCTTTGCCCTATTGGGCAGGGATAACAATGGGGCAGAGTAGTGAGGGTGAAAAGAAATCCTGAGACTCAGCCCCTGGATAAATGCATGTGTAACTCACACGCCAATGTCACTCTGCTCATGTGTGCCTGTGTCTCTTCCCTCTCTGACTATCTTCATCTTGTCCTGCTCTTCATCTTGAACCTGTCTCCACTCCTCCACCCTTGTAGCTTGTTTCCCAGCTTTCTGTCTGTCACCCTGGAAAGACCAAATTAGGACTTAACTCCATGCCAGTCACTTCAAATTCTGCTCCAGGCTCACCTTATGGAGTTCTAGCAGAGACATGATTTCTGTCCAGAACTACATTTCCTAGAAATTCTCTTTATGAGAGGGCCAAATCCCCACCACCAGTTGGGCTCATGGCACCCATTCTTAAGAGGGCCAGAATGCCCCAATACAAAATTCCAGATTTCTTCATCAAATAAAATAAACGAACATAAATATTGTATGGCTATACTAGTGTTTCTCAAACACGTTGTGGGCTCCAGGGAAATGACTAAAGGCAATGTAAGAGGCTGTAGCATTGAAAATGTGATTCATCTAATACAAAGAAAATCTCAATCCCTGTCCACATTTATCCTTCAAAGTCAAATATTCTGTTAACTTCTCAAAATACATATATTAATTATAAAGGCTTATAATTCAAGCTTTTTTCTCTCACTTTCATAAGTAAACATAAATAGGCAATGAAAATATTTTACTCTCAGTGAGTCACCAATCTGAAAACTTTGAGAAATACCGATAACAATGGCAACAGAAAAAATGCTATTAGGTAATCAAAAGCAAGAGGTTAGCTTCTGGGAGTCTGCTTTGTCAAGTAGACTAACCATTAACTTGACAGTGACTTTGTATTCTGTTTGACAAAAAGTCCAAACTACCCTATAAAAAGCCATTAGTTGCTTCCATAAAATAATTATCAGTCTCCTAAACAAAGAGGAAAAAACAAACAAGCTATTTGGCAATAGAATTGATTGTACACATAGCTTTTTCCAAAGACATGTCCATCAATCACAACTAAAGGGAAAAAAAATGTAACAAAACACAAAACAGCCTGTCGTACTTACTTACAATTCATAATTAAAGCTCAGGTATTTTTTAAACTCTGAATTGAAATATTTAACTTAAATGAGATGAGCAGAGAAGCAAAAATAAGAATACAAAGCCTTCCAATGTGCATAAATATAAACATCCATATTTAGATGCTTTAGTGGGATCAGTATCCAAATACATCTAAATCCTCTCCTCTGTCAAATATGAATCCCAACCAAAATCATATGAGTCTGCCACTCCAGGCAAACAAAATCCAGAATAAGAAATATTATAGAGCCTATTATCATCTTAAAGTCACTGAATCCAAGTATGGAGAAGATAATTTTTATTCTAAGCAACAGTTTAACACTTTTAACATATTGCATGAGTACATGAACAATGGTTCCAATACACAAAAATATTGCCTAATATGTACATGAATTTAAACTCTCCATGCTATTATCATTATCTGAAGGCATGACAGAATATTGCTCCCAGTTAACTGTATCTCTTCCATGAAATTTTACAAAGATTCTTTCAATGACAGTTTAAGACTTTCCAAATGATACAGAAAGGCTTTATAAAAAGGATAAAATATTGTCCACGTCTTTGAGATTTCATACAGTCTTGAACAGCACAGCTGTTTTATCACATTAACAGTGGCTTGCTAGAACATTGAAGAAGTGAAAAACTTCATCTTTATCCAAGACTGCCACTTCAGTTGAACATTCGGTACATTTGACTGGATGATATACTTCCTCCTCTTCTTGATTTCCCTGCACAGGGTTGATCTCGTTACTGTGTTTCATTTTCTTATGTCCTTTCTTTATCTTCTTGTTCACTGGACCTTTGTATTTTAGAATCTCCTCTTTGTTAACAGAGCAGTTCATCACAAACATTGCTCTGTACTGTGTTTTATAGGATTCATGTCTAGGAAAAAAAGAAAATGCAATTGTCATGTTCTCCTCTGACAGAATTCTGTTTCCACAAAACTGGTGACTGCTGAAGGAGTGAGGACAGGAAACACCAAGTCAAAGGACTAGCAGCCAGTCAAAAGTGAAGTTGTATAAACAAGCCAGAATTTGAACCATACTTTTTACCCTCCAACATTTAAATATTTAAAAAATAATTTTAACCCTGTCATTTCTCATGAATTTGGCCAGTCCATGTTCATGTAAATTTAATATCTTAAAAATTACTGTTAAATTTTTGAGCCAATGTATTAACCCCAGAAAGATCAATTCAGATCCAATCTTTAATATAGCTTTCCAAGAATGGGTGGGTATGTCTACACTAGCCCCCTAGTTCGATCTAGGGAGGCTAATGAGGGTGACCGAATTGCAAAATGAAGCGCGGGATTTAAATATCCCGTGCTTCATTAGCATGTTCCGGGGCAGTTGCCATTTTGGAAATTGACTAGCCCGGAAGAACTGCCCACGTCTACACGCGGCAGAGAAGGGCGATTCCGAAATAAACCCTTTACTTCGAATTAACAGTTAAACCTCATGGAATGGCGACCGCCCAGGAACATGCTAATGAAGGGCGGGATACTTAAATCCCATGCTTCATTTGCAATTTCGGTCACCCTCCTTAGCCTCCCTAGTTCGAATTAGGGGGCTAGTACAGACATACCCAGTGACAATACGTTTTTCCCTAGTTTGTCTGTTTCCATTCTAATAAACTTACATCTTACTGTTCTTCAACTCAACTCCATTCTATATGCTCCCAACTCTTCTCTGCTAAGACAATCCCAAATCCTTGCATCTGTCATTCAATCATAAGCCTAGCCCAGGTGTTAATTTCCCCCTGCCTCCAATAGATCAGATAAAGTTGTGTTTTTGTTAAAATTTCTCTCTTCAAAATCTGGGACAGGGTAGGCACCAACTTAGTTACCATATTAAGAACAGGAATTCCTAGTGTCAAGAACATAAGACCAGGAAATAAAGATCATCATAATTTTGATGGATGAGAAGAATACTACCCCTTCTAGACACTCCACTCATTCAGTTAACTAAACTGTCTGTAAAGGTTAAACCCAGAGGCAGTGGGTATCCAGAAAGTGTTAGCAGGGAGCATGGAGAGCCAATGGGAAGCAAGTGAGAGATTTTAATTGAAACAGATTCTGCCTGATTCAGTCTTCTGTGTGAGTTTTGAGCAGGAGCTAGGAGAAAGATGGACTGAGGAAGGAATAAGGCATGGATTTTTCAGCGATATCTACACCTAAGTAAAGACTAAACTTTGGAATAACAGATTTAAGTAGAACAGGGCATGTTTAGTTAGACATGATTATTTTGGGGTTTGGTTAATCTCCTCTGTGCTGAGCCCATGTCTGTCCCCTACTTCTCTGAACACTGTACTGAATCCAGGGAAGCAGTTCTCTGTGCTTTAATCTGTTTTTTTCCCAGTTGCTCTGTAACACCTAGCAACCAAGTATGCTTTACCAAATCTCTCTCTTTGTTTTGATAATAGATTCACCTTTTTAAGACTATGATCTCATTCCTGTGTCCTAGAAGGCAGGAGGTTCAGTGTGCATGTGTCTGAGATTGAAGGTCAGCTATTAAGAGATTAAAGTTTGTTTTCAAGCTCTCTCCTGAGGAAAAGTTAAAGATCTTAGGGTTACCCCATACAAAGAAAATCCCAACTGCGTCTTCCTGGGCTTTCACTGTTTTGGCATTTGGGTGGTGGCAGCATACAATCTGGGACACTAGGAAGTTTTGTTTTGTTTAATTGAAGCCTTTAGTGGCAGGGTATTTTAAGGTCTCTTGTGGGCCCCAACCTTCTGAACTTGAAGTAAAGTGGGGAATAGCCTTGACAATAAGGATTAAGCCAGTGAAGTCCAGACTGAGTTAAAATCATTTGACATTCCAGCAAATTGTTTTGAGCAACAGCAGAGGCATTTTCCTGAAACTCAAACAGCTGCTATTATACATAAACATAGCAACTTTATCTCAATGTCCTCTATGCTCTGGAATACTAATTTGCTATAACCCAATATTCTTTCATAAAATCAACATATTGTTAGGGATATTTACTAATCTGTCTGGGCACGTCTAGACTGCACATGACTTCCTCTTTTTTCCTGGAAGAGGTTTTTCCAAGGTTTACAGGGGGCTTTCAAAAGAGGGGGATTTTCTGATATTAGGCCCCATGTAGATGGGCCAAATATCGGAAAAGCCTCTTCTGGGGGGAAAAAAACAGATGATATGCAAATTCGAGACAAATTTTTATATCTTCTTTCAGAAGCCACGTGTAGTCTAGACATGCCATCTGTGACTATCACTTCCCCCCATTCTCAAAATCCTGAGTAGCTGAAAAACTATCAATATAACACACAGACTGATTATCAATTGAGTTTTTGATTGTTCATTATGAGGTTGATCCAAGCCTCTAACCAACTGACTGAAAATACAACTGATTGGCTGGTTTGCAAAACAGACAGAATATTTAAGATTAAGGCTTCCAAAAAGCATTAGATGTAGTGTAAATCATTGTCTCATAAATATTCAGTGAATTTGCAAAAGAGCCTTCTACATATTGCTTATTTCCATACTGCTCGCTCTCAACTTCTCTTGAGAAAAATCCTAGGTTTGCTACTGTGGAACCAAGGTGAAATATAATTGCATGCATGTGTTGAATCCATACCTTTATTTTCATAATGACACATCTGCTCTGTTAACTAATAAATATAAATTACATATTTCACTGCAGCTGAAAATAAGACATTGCAGAAATATCACTTCATGTTTACGGTTCAATAATTACCTTTGGCAGTCAAAGCACAATGTAGTCATGCAAGCAGGGCAGTTCAAAACAGCATCACTGTTTGGAATGGCTGGAGGTTTGACCTGCTGATGCATTCTTCTTAAATTTTGGTATCTACCAAGAAGTAAACAAACAGGTGAAAATATCTATCCCTACAGGTTAGGCATCTAGATTGAACCTTAACGCTGTATTTACAACCAAAAACCACCTACAGCAAATGTTTGATACTTTCTGGAACCCTGGTCTCCCAGTCCAAAGTACACAGTATTCAAATAGTTGGGAAAAAATAAAGCACCAACATTTGTCTGTCTCACTCTAATTTTTATACGAATGGCTTTTTAATTAGCTCAAGAGTTTGAATCTTAACGGAGTGTGTATTTCTGTATAACGATCCTTTGCTGTGTGTGAAATAGGATGCATTTTTTCTAGGTGTAATCAGCACAAGATATTTAATTCTGCATTCATCAGTTTTTGTTCAGCTGCAGAATCTAGTTTTCCTGCTGGCCAATGGGGTTTTACTTCATACACAGGCCAAAAATTCCACAGAAAAGGAGCTCCAGCTCGTTCCATTGCATCCAACCACTCTTTTCTACCTCACTAAACCCCAAGCCTGTTAAAAACAAAAAGGTATTTGTCTTAGTTTCACTTGAACAGTGAACGATAGCTAAATAATCTAGTGATTAAAATATGCTAAGACATTAAAAAAGGGAAAAAAAAGACATCACCTAATCCTGCAAGGTCACTGAATGTGGAACGTCCTTTGACTTCAATCAGAGTTCTGCACATAGGTGACTCTCATGATCAAGTTGGTTTGGGGGTTTTTTGGTAAAAAGAATAGATTAATAAAGCAAATGGGATGGCAATACAAAAGCACTTATCATTACTTTCTCTAATGGAATTGAATGGGAGTTCAATAACTAGGTGTATAACTGGCTGGATAACTGTTTTCAGAGAATAGTTATTAATGGTTGACAATCATGCTGGAAAGACATAACAAGTGGGGTTCTGCAGGGGTCTGTTTTGGGATCAGTTCTGTTCAATATCTTCATCAACGATTTAGATACTGGCATAGAGAATACACTTAAGTTTGCAGATGATATGAAGTTGGGGGGGTTGCAACTGCTTTAGAGGATCAGGTCATAATTCAAAGTGATCTGGACAAACTGGAGAAATGGTGTGAGGTAAATAGAATGACGTTTAATAAGGACAAATGCAAAGTGCTCCACTTAGGAAGAAACAATTAGTTTCACACATACAGAATGGGAAGCAACTATCTAGGAAAGAGTACCGCAGAAAGAGATCTAGGGGTTGTAGCACACCACAAGCTAAATATGAGTTAACAGTGTGACACTACTGCAAAAAAAAGCAAACATGAATCTGGGATGCATTAACAGGAGTGTTGTGAGCAAGACACGAGAGTTTGTTCTTCCACTATGTGCTGATTGGGCCTCAATTGGGAGTACTGTGTCCAGTTCTGGGCACAACATTTGAAGAAAGACATGGAGAAATTGGAGAGGGTCCAGAAAAGAGCAACAAGAACGATTAAAGGTCTAGAGAACATGAGCTCTGAGGGGAGACTGAAAGAACTGGGCTTGTTTAGTTTGGAAAGGAGAAGACAGAGGGGACATGATAGCGATTTTCAAGTATCTAAAAGGGTGTCACAAGGAAGAAAGAAAAATTGCTTCTTGTCCTACCATCAGAGGCCAAGGAGAACAATGGGCTTAAACTGCAGCAAGGGAGGTTTAGGTTGGACATTAGGAAAAACTTCCTGTCAGAGTGGCTGAACACTCGAATAAATTTCCCAGAGAGGTTGTGGAATTTCCATCTCTGGAGATATTTAAGAGCAGGTTAGATAGACATCTATCAGGGATGGTCTAGACAGTGCTTGGTCCTGTCATGAGGGCAGGAGACTGGACTAGGTGACCTCTCAAGGTCCCTTCCAGTTCTAGTATTCTATTAGGATTTGACCCTGCTAAGTCAATGAGGAGTTCATGTGAAATAGGATTTGGCCCCAACTGAGTATTTATCTATAGGTTCAGATCATCATAAAAAGGAACCTGTAAATGACACCTGCAAATGTGAATAAGCGAACACTGTACTAAAACAATATTTTGTATTTCATATACTTCAAATGAAGCTATGACTCAAAGAAACCACTTTTAGATGTATTGCCTTTACAGCTTTTAAGTTACTTGACACGTTCAATGATATATTCAAGGGTTAAAATGTTTACATCTTCTTACCCTGGTCTCTGAGAGTTCACCCACTCTTGGTTTCGATCATCTTCTTCTGGATCATACAGTAGCTCATCATTAGTAGGAATCTGGCGCTGCTGCTGTCTCTTTTTTTTCCTAGCCACCTGTGTACCTGAGAGGTGTGTGAGAACATAGTTGAACTCTACCTTCCAAATCATATAAGTCAACTATTATCTATTTCAAGGATCCACAACCTTTTTCTTTCTGAGCCCCTCTTTGCCCCCCCTGCACGCACATGCTATAAAAATTTCACAACCTATCTGTGCCATAACACCTGTTTACCTGACTATCCAGTACAGTGGTTCTCAAACTTTTTGGGCTCTGGAGCCCTTTCCATGCATAAAAATTTATGCAGAGCCCCAGCAGTGTGTGTTAATTATGTCAGTTCGAGGCAATTCTTAATTATGCTTTTGAAGGCTTTCCAGTTTGTCAACCTCGTGGAGCCCCTGGAGATGTCTCATGGAGCCTTGGGGCTCTGCGGAGCACAGTTTGAGAAACACTGAACCAGTAGCTTAAAAGCTGCCAGCATTAGGGGTTGCATGCAGGGCAGTTGCCCAGGGTCCCGTGCCACAAGGGCCCTGCAAAACTAAGCTGCTTGGGCTTCTGCTTCAGATCAAAGTGATGGTGCTTAAGCTTTGGCTTTCTGCCCTGGGTAAGTCTAATACTGGCCTCCCTCTGTTTATTTTGGCAAATCCCCTAAACGTCCCAAACCCCTAACTGACAACCACTGAGCTAACCAACCAAAGTGACAGTTTCTACTTCATTTTTGCTGTGCTACAAATACAAAAAAATCCCCATTAAAACAAAAGGCTTGGATCACTCCTTTCTGCAGATACCGTCATAGAAGGATTAATGCAGCACCAGGCTATAGACATTATCTCCTTTTTTTCAGAGTTTTAGTGGAAGTGTGAGGTGACATAAGCACCCTCAACCTAACCACCTACCCTCAAGACCCTCTCCAGCCATAGCCTCTGACTCCAGAGGTCTCTTCAGGTCTGGAGAAGGGGATACTGCTACAGAGGTGGTCAACTCTTTCCTCAGCCATTTACCTACTTTATCTTCATCCTCTGAATCAGAGTCAAAATAAATATCATCATAATATTTTGTTGTGGTGACTGTTCCAGCTTGTCCAGTACTTGAAGAAGTACCTATTTATGAAATCATAACCAAACAAACAAGAAAGCATCAGAATTAGCAATCATAAGCCCAAAATAAAAAACCCCCCTGCACGCACATGCTATAAAAATTTCACAACCTATCTGTGCCATAACACCTGTTTACCTGACTATCCAGTACAGTGGTTCTCAAACTTTTTGGGCTCTGGAGCCCTTTCCATGCATAAAAATTTATGCAGAGCCCCAGCAGTGTGTGTTAATTATGTCAGTTCGAGGCAATTCTTAATTATGCTTTTGAAGGCTTTCCAGTTTGTCAACCTCGTGGAGCCCCTGGAGATGTCTCATGGAGCCTTGGGGCTCTGCGGAGCACAGTTTGAGAAACACTGAACCAGTAGCTTAAAAGCTGCCAGCATTAGGGGTTGCATGCAGGGCAGTTGCCCAGGGTCCCGTGCCACAAGGGCCCTGCAAAACTAAGCTGCTTGGGCTTCTGCTTCAGATCAAAGTGATGGTGCTTAAGCTTTGGCTTTCTGCCCTGGGTAAGTCTAATACTGGCCTCCCTCTGTTTATTTTGGCAAATCCCCTAAACGTCCCAAACCCCTAACTGACAACCACTGAGCTAACCAACCAAAGTGACAGTTTCTACTTCATTTTTGCTGTGCTACAAATACAAAAAAATCCCCATTAAAACAAAAGGCTTGGATCACTCCTTTCTGCAGATACCGTCATAGAAGGATTAATGCAGCACCAGGCTATAGACATTATCTCCTTTTTTTCAGAGTTTTAGTGGAAGTGTGAGGTGACATAAGCACCCTCAACCTAACCACCTACCCTCAAGACCCTCTCCAGCCATAGCCTCTGACTCCAGAGGTCTCTTCAGGTCTGGAGAAGGGGATACTGCTACAGAGGTGGTCAACTCTTTCCTCAGCCATTTACCTACTTTATCTTCATCCTCTGAATCAGAGTCAAAATAAATATCATCATAATATTTTGTTGTGGTGACTGTTCCAGCTTGTCCAGTACTTGAAGAAGTACCTATTTATGAAATCATAACCAAACAAACAAGAAAGCATCAGAATTAGCAATCATAAGCCCAAAATAAAAAAGTAGACTGTGTCCCTAAAGTGAATTCAGGATGAGGGCACATTCCCCTGTAACTGTCTGTAAATGCAACTGGGATCCAACTGTTATACACTCATGACTAGTCCTCTGAAATCAATGCATAAATGATAATATGGTTAGTTTAATGTTAGGAGATTTAATAGCACCTACATAATACTTTATTTAGAGGTAAATTTAGACACATTAGCGGAGAAGCTGTCAAAATTGAGACATCAGTTTATACCAGTAGCCTACTAGCTGATGTGTCTAACTTTATCTCAAAAGTAAAATGCTATGTAAATGCTATTAAATCTTGTAAATATTAAATTGATTGTGCCATTTTCCATGCACTGGCTTTGATGTGACTCTTCATAGGGCTCAAAGTTACACATACTTAAGTCTTTCCAGGACTGGAGCCTAATTTACAAAATGCATCTACATCATCCCTAGTGACAGATATGCCACTAATGGACATACTGTCAGCTCAAAATGAAACCAGAGTATAGTCCAGGGTAAACTATCATTGGCAAACTATGCAAATAATACATCCTTGATAATACAAAAGATAATTAACCAGAAACTATGCACAGGTTCAGGTCTGCTCAGTTAACAAGAAAAACAAGATTTACTTTGCTGAAATGTCTGCAAATCAACAATCCTGTTTAAAATGGACCTTTTCAATAGATGACTTGCGAAGGTAACTAAGAATGCCTCACTATGCACTTTGTAACAGGAACAAAGAAACACAGGTTCGCCTCAAAAGTAAGGAACTTATCCCCCTGGCAACTATGTCCCTGTAAATCAAAAAGAACAGAAATATATCTGAGGACTGCAGAAATGGATAGCTTTGGTTATTTAGAGGCAGTTTTTTGTCCTACTGTAAGAGAGGTAATTATACTCCCAATTCATAGATTAGCTTTTGAACCTTTTTAAATCAATGTTCTATCAAGGGACCCATGTTTAAAATCTGCTTTTTTTCCCTGTTAATGTACATTTTGATTTAAACGAATTTCAATCTGATAATTGTTTTACAAATATCATTGTTTAAAGTGTATGTTATTTAGAGATATTAAAAAGCAGGGGGAGGGGAGGTTTGATAAATGTGTAACTGCAGAAATTTTCTAGGGGTACGCATTTACACTGGGGATGTAATAGTCCAGTCGACTAAATGATTAACTGATAAGTGGGTGCTTATCAGTTAACACTATTGAACTACAGGCTGTAGCTCTTCAGTACAAGCACTAAGAGTTGGGGTGAGAGTTGATGCCGGTCCTGGCACGAGCTGAGACTGAGCCAGCTTGCCTGCACCCCAGCTCTTAGTGTTGGGACCTGGCATCAACTCCCACTGTGGCTCTGGAATACAAGCACTAAAAGCCAGGGTGCGGGCAGGCTGGCTCAGTCTTGGCTTGCGCTGGGACCCAGCATCAACCCCCACTGAGGTTCTGCAGTACAAATGCTTGTAGTGCAGAGCTGCAGTGGGGTAGTTGCCAGACCTGGCAGGAGCTGGGACTGAGTGGTAGAAGTGTATCAACCCCTTATCAACTAATTGTGTAGTTTTTGTCGACTACATGATTAATGAATTACAGGCTTAACATTCTTAGTTTACCAGTGGAGGTGAGGGAACTCTGCAGGAGCCAGTGCACATGGAAAGCTGACTTTTAAGCCAGCTCCTCACAAACACTGGCTGCCATGCTGGTACCAGCTTAAAAGCCTGCTCCCTCGGATTACAGATTCCTACCTCCTCCACCCCCCCACCCCTCCCCCAGCTGCTGCCTCTGATGCAGGAAGGGAGAGGGGGCTTGTGTGTAAACCCCAGGCTCATTGGTTAACCATTTAAACATGTATGCTGACACATCCCTAATGTTATTCACCTTAATTCATTACATTCACACATACACTTCATACCAGTATCAATTTCCCTTTTAAAAGCATAAAATGACACTGACTGTTGTTTGCTATATAATGATACATTATTAGGGTTGCCAGATGGTTTCAACAAAAATACCAGACACACTTGACATTACATCACAATCTACATTACATCTTATTTAGAAAATACTGGACATTTATATTTTCTCATTTATATTTCCTCAATTTGTTTCCCGAACAGAAAGCTCAAATACTGGACTGTCCAGTTCAAAACCGGTCACCTGGCAACCCTATACATTATCCAATAACAATACTTGAAAATGTAGCATATCCAGAGAATGAGGTTTCCAGAGTTCAGCATATCAAACACTACACATTGCCTTCTAAGAAGGGAATCCTTGCAGCTGCCTTAAATGCCTTAAAAGGCACTTTATTTTCACATAGAACAATATAAGTGCTCAAAGAGAAAGCAAAGTTTTAAGGCCTACAAAAACAGCTATGAAGACTGGTCTAAACTCATGGTTTAAGGTCAGTATTGTTGCGCTAAAAAGTGGCTGTGTTATCTAGAACAGGGATTTTCAAAGTTGAGTCACGGGCCTGCCCAGGTAAGCTTCTGGTGCACCACAAGATGCCTCGTCTATCTAAGCGTCCATAAGCATGGAACCCTGCAGCTCCCATTGGGCTAGGCTGCCACTTCCCGCAGCTTCCATTGCCTGGACAAAATGAACTGCAGCCAATGGGACCTGTGAAGTTCCATGCCTAGGGACGCTTAGACAGACAACGCGTCTTGTGGAGCACCAGCAGCTTACTCGGGCAGACCCACGACCCAACTTTGAAAACTCCTGAGCTAAAATGCTAGTCAAAGGCACCCCAGAAAAATGTATTCTAGGACAGCCAAGAGATATCACAAATGTATGCGTATGGAACACAAATTTGTAGCATGTCCAGAAATCAATTCACACCAGTTAAAACAGAACCATTAACTCAGTTCTCGAAAAACCCATTAGGGTAGCTCTGCTCTCCAGTGAAACTCTTCTATTACTGGGGGATTCTGGGCAATAAGCAATTTCTTTTTCATTTTGTAGCATTAAGTAGTATTTTATTTTTCTTCTTTCCTTTTTATTGCCAGTAAGTGACCACTTCCTAGAGCCCCACCTCATAATGGTGGAGTTCCATTTGTCAAAAGTGTAGCTGGCAGCTCTTAAGATGATTTGCGGCAGATGGAGGGAACCTGCTGCCTGTTGTCCCTTACTTTGAGAGAGTGATCCAAAACCTGACAACATCAGGAAGCCACTGGAGACAGAGGAGAAATACAGCCACAGCCTCCCATGTAGGAGGAGGTGGTGCAGGCTGAGAACAGCACTGGAGACCACCTAAAAAGGACCAGTGGACCAAGGCAGAAGAATCCTGAAAAGTGTGAAATCCTCCATTAGTCTAAATAAGCATTGGGATATTGATGGTAATTTAAATGGCTAAAGGAACTATTTAATTGCTGTTCATTTTAACACCGATGTCCAGTTATTCTATAACTGTCAGTGAACACATGCAATCAAACTAAGAAGCCAAATAATACATTCACTCAGCTCATCAACATAATCAATAATGCATTATGGGCTAAAATAATACATTCACTTAGCTGCCCTATAACTGACTATTACATAGAAAAGGAGATACTAAAAAAGTTGTATTTACCTGTTTCTAATGACTTCCACTTGCCCTCCATAGTTTTCATAGTGCAGTTTAGTTCTGCCTCCATTTCCTTTTGGAACTCATCTTCACTTGATGATTCACTTTCTCCAGTAAGGCACTCCCTTATCAGTTTGCGCTTTTGATCAGGAGTACCATATAAAAGCACATCCACCTCATCCTCCGAGCTACAGGATATTTAATATTTCCATTATTACAATAATATACAATAATAATATTGGAATAATATTCCAATATACAATAATATTTCCATTATTATTGGTTTACAATATCAACCCCTCTACTGATGTAATAAAAATCATTTGGATTATTCTGAAGTATTTATTGATACAACTTTCTATCTAATAATGGACATATTTTACCATTTTAGTTGGATGACTGCTTCATTTTAAGCTATGTACTAAAGCCACAATCCTGCAATAGACAGTGAAGTCAGTGTGCAAGCCAACAGTCTATTTAAATGTTGTCAATTGCAGGATCATAGTCTGAAGTATTTCAGTTTAAACAAAAAACTACTCTGACAATAATAATAAAAAAAAACCAACAGAACAGTAAGCTCTGGGAAAAAGTCCTAGAAAATTGTTTTCTTTAATGAAGCAACTTGCATTTCAGTTAAGTTGGATAGTTTGCCAAAAGTTACAGCCTGCCTCCCTTTCAGTATGTTTCTTGTAGTTCACTTCTTGGTGTACAGCACTTTTTGTGTGGTGACACCACATGGGAATGTAGATGTCAATAGTGCACAAGACTATTTTTAAAAAGTCTTTATGAGAATGTAAGATTTGTGTTCCTGTAGTGTTTGTGTAATGAACCATGTATTTTGCTTACTTTAATGCAATCAGGATGTATTCACAATGCCAATAAACCTATAAATGTTGTTTTAGAGTGTTATAAGGTACTAGAATAACCCAAAACACACAATGAAGTTTAAACAAAGTAAGAGTAGAAACTGAAATGGGAATACTGATGTGCTTGGCAGAAATCTATTTTTAAAAGAAATAATTTCAGCAGCTAAGACTGATATTTACCTTTAGGCATTTTTCAATTGAGACATTCACAGTTGTACAAAACTATGGGTTTTAAGTATTTTTTATCAATTTAAATGTTCACAATTGCAAGACATGATGGAGGAATCAGATTTGAGAGTCAAAGATGTAAAGCGTCATAAGCACGCTGTTTGAGAAGAACTATAAGCAGGAACTTTATTGCAGCATCCGTTACATGAGGTTTTATGATCATTAATATAGGAGTCACGCAGCATTTTCCTCCCTTTGCCTTGTCTATACATTTCGGCTATTACTGGTGGAAATATTTTACGCTGAGTGTGTGGATGCCGAACTCATTTCCAGCCCTGCCAAGCCTAGTTACTGAGCTGCTGGAAGAGC